AACGTAAATCATACTACTGCTTTCAAATTCAATTTCCTACAACAATGATTTTTACTATAAATAAACTTCATCCACTGTGATTTCTATACCTTTTTCTTTCTTTCGTCACTCCTTTACTTTTATTCCTCCTCATCGACTGTAACTCAAAACCTTTTAAAAAATTTTTTTTTTCAAATAACACTAAAAAAACTAAAATAAAAATAAATAAGTCGCTTAACTTGAACAGCTAATTTACACCCATCATTCCAAAATTCTTAACCAGTCAAATCCATGCGCTCAACTGCTAGTAGACTTTGCAAAGCCTATTTTCAACGTAAGGATTTCTACTAAAAAAAAAAAAAGTGAACAGTCTTAGCGAGTAAACAATTTAGAGAGTAGAAGAAGCAGGAGAAAAAGTTATGTTTAAAAGTGCATGCTGACGCAACAAATTCACAGAGTCACATACCAGCAAAATGTGAGGTGTAAAGGTAAAGCAAAAAAATTTATTAACAAATTTTTCTACAGACTATCTGACAAGAATAACCACTAACAAAAACAGCAACAAAAGCAACAATAATGACGAGAAAAAAATTTTTTAAGTTTGGTGGTCTCACTTCTAAGGCTTAAAAAACAAAAGTGGTTACAGTGAGAAAAAAAACTAAAAAACTCTTTGTCAATAACAAAAAATTAGAACACTACATTTGTAGAAGTATCGTAATAAATCATCCCCGCTACCCCCGGCCAAAATAACGTCTTCTCCAACTCAGCCTAAACACCGACCCAACTCCCCCTCTGCTGATCACCATCATCATCATCATCATCATCATCATCATCATCACCATCACATCATCATCATCATCATCATCATCATCATCATCATCATCATACTTCTTCTCTTCTTTATCCAATATACGAAAATAAAAGTCTTTTTTCTTTTTGATTCACAGTGCGCTCTGTTTTGTTCGTCAAACTCAAACTTTATTCACTATAACCAACATAACTAGAAAAACACCCGAAGTTCTTATAACGGCAGCTTTCTGTCACGACAGACAAAAAATTCAGTAACTAATAACAAAAACTTCAAACATTCATTTCTAATGTTAGTTCCAAGTAACTCAAATAATATAATCGCACTACTCAATCATTCAAAATAGCTATTCAAATTTTCAAACAAATGAGCAGAACAAAATCATGTTAAGAAAGACTCATAAGTATAAAAAACCGAGTAATAAAAAAAAAAAAAA